GCTCATAATAGTTAGAAAATTGATCTAACTAAAAATTAAAATACTTTTTTTTATATAATTTAATATTATACAATATTAATTCTTTGTTTAAAAATTCAAGTTTTCATATGTTAAACTATAACTCGAAAGTCTTAGTACAATATATTCGCACAAAGACAACTGTTTAGAACTGGGAAACGGTCAATTAATAGCAGAGCTGAACAAAGTAAATAGTGGTTTTGCCACTATTCTTGTTTTGTGTCTTCAAGCAACTTCAACTCAATATTACTGAATTCTGTACAAAATGAGATATTAAAATAAGCAAAAGCTCATACATGCGTTTCTATTAAAGAACTAATTTCTATGGAAATCGGAATTAGTAAAAAAATACTTTTAAAAGTACAAAAATAAACAGCACTCTTTGTAGAGCGAAGTTTACCCCACAAAACTCCTTTGCATTCTATTTTTGATAGGTTTCAATTGAAATACAAAATTAACTAAAATAGTATTCTGTACAATAAATATTTTGGACCTATTGAAACAATCTGAAGATAGTTTTAGATTTCTATCGAACATATTTTCATCAGATTCGAAACTGTTCAAATGAAGATTAGAGACGAACAGAAACATCTCGAGATTGAAATCACGATACTAAACAAAATTTATCATTTATGTTTATGATAAAATTATTCTCATATTAGTACACCGTTGCTTTTTCTCTTTTCTAAGATTTTATCTACGTCTATAAGTAAATTATATTTAATATAAACTTTACTTGTAATCGAATATATTCCAATGAAGTCTTTACATTCGATACTGTTTTTAATTTTAATCGAGTAATAATTCCAAAAAGACCATATCCACCAATGAGTAATGAAAATAATTCTGAATCTCTTTCTCGGCTACATTCACCTTTTCGACCATTCATATCAATATATTCAATACTAATAACTGATTCAACCATAGCATCGTCAGATGTAATTCCATGTGCATTAACTGATATTGTTCCAGCTACACTAAATGTACAATAACTTTGCATAACTACTGGTGATCGACCATATAAATTAAGTTTATGAATAACATGAGTCCATGTTGCACCAGCTTCAACAAAAACATCTTTTGTATATTCATCATATTCAACATGATTCATATATTTTAAATCACAAACATAATTTGTTTGATGACTTTTTCTTAATGGTAATGTTTGTCCACCCATTGTATGTGCTTGTCCACGCACAGATATTGTTCTACCTTGAGATTTAGCTTTTGATATTAAATATTCAATATCATTTATTGTTCGAGGATAAAATAAACAATGAATTTCAGTTTCATTTAATTTTGATACATCATTTAGATAAATATTACCTGTAAAATTTAAATCACATTTTTATATCAACAAAAAAAGATGGTCACCGCAACTTCTTTGGGACTACGAAGAAGAAAAAAAGAATATATCTATCTTTTGGCTATCTTGCAATATGAGGGTGCTGCCTAATGGCAAATTCAATAATCAAATATCTTATCTACAGCTAATAATAGCTGTAGATCTGGACAAAAGACTAGTCTGACGCAAAATTCTTACGTTCAGTTGCTTGAGCTCCTCATATATACTAACTAATCACATACTGAACATAAGATCACGTGCCTTTCACAATGTAGTTAGCATGCTATCAAACGATTGATCCAAGTCAAGCAGTCGTTAGTAATTTAAGACTAGAAAACGTCTTAAAGGGTTTGTGTCCATAGACTTCTGCAGTCAAATCATAACCATTTTACTGATTGTTCGACCCATTTTCAGATGGGTACGAACTTTTTTAGGGTTTTTCTAGTCTCAACGATATCTCTTTTGAACCGAATATAATACTCAAACGGTAGGTACAAGTTTGGATGATTGCCTCACCAACCGTGATGGCTTCTTCGGGGCTAAAATATGAAACTCACATGTGTTCTTTAACCTCATTATGCTAATAGAAAATATGTAAAATGAAAAGTCTCTAGCAGACTATAGTTGTTTTACAAGTATAATCGATCGTCAGAGAAGCAATCTTTTCATTTTCATTTTTTCTTAATTTAATATCATTATTATTATTCTACTTGTAGATTTCACCCTTTTGATCACTATAGTTTTCTTCGAAAAACATAATGTGAATTCTAAAAAATATTTATAAAATGGATGAATACCTGTAAAATTTAAATCAAATTTTGTTGTTGATAAAAAATATTTATAAAATGCATAAAAACACAAGCATATAATAATAATACATAATATTATTAAACGATTGGTTAACAAACTTGAAAATTTAAATTTGAAATTAGAAATTAATTGAATTATTATATTTAAAAATAATAAAATTAGGAAAGATACTGGTGTTGGTATTGTAATTGAAAGAAATTTTATAATAATTTTCATGTTTTTTGATAATATTGAAAAAACTCT